ATACGGAACCGTCATTTAGTCCGACAATTATTTTAAGACATTTTTATGTTTATACATTCTTTTTATAGATACAAATATTTAAGTAAATGCTCTATTTATGATAAACAGTATTAACATTTACCGGTCTGAATGTCCGAGAAATTTTCATAGAAAATATTCGTCCTCCGACAGGAATCGAACCTATGTCCTATACGGACACCATCATATAGCCTCACGTGCTTTTACCGATTGAGGACCGTTCGGTTAGCAAGGTCGATTTTACGGTTTTTAAACTACAACCTTCCATGAATCTCTCACGTAAATTCATATCTGCTCAATGCGTATCCAAATGTAAACAAATGACGTCACACATTATAAAATGGACAAATATATATATTCAGTTTACCCTGAAGATCCATTTACGTGAAACCTAGGTAGAGTTGCCTAGTTCCTTAGGGATTTATTCTCGTATGTATACATATATATATATATATATATATATATATATATATATATATATATATATATATATATATATATATAAGGTTTTTTTTAAGAAGGAACAAGGTCTAATATTGCGACGTATGTAGGTATGTTAAACAGCGCCGAAAATGACCTGAGTCATTTTTGTTATTTTGTGACTGAAATACATTCTATATTTGGATCCCTACAGCTTCTGGCTTTTCCCAAAGTGAAGACCGGCTTTGTGAACGATGGTAATTTTAATCCGTAGACAAGATTAAAGAAAACCAAACATGGCAGCTGATGGCGGTCCCCGAAGAGAAATTTACAAATTCCTTCCTCATTATGTTCTTCGGTAATTTCTACTGACTCTTCGAGATGTTAAGTATAGATTTCCTTTTTGTTTCAGGTTCTCTGAAACCTCGTCCTTGCTCATATGTTCGATTCATGGCATCCTCAGCATCCTTCTGTAAAACCACATTTCTGTTGCCCCAAGTCTCTTCTTCATCTTTGAGGAGATCGTCCAGCATTCACCGTCCTATAGGAAGACAGATATCACGTAACAGCTATCATTACTTTTTGTTTCTAAAGAAGATTTTCTGTCTTTTAAAACTCTACTTAGAATACTTCCCAGATAGTTAAATATTGGTTCTTCTTGGATTTTGATAAACGAAAGAGTCTCTGGGATTAGTGAGTTAGCCTCGAGTAAGTTTACACTGAAGGCGATTAAAGTGTATTTGCCCGAGATAGGGCTAATCTTTAGTTAATATTAAATGGCTAGATCATTTCTAGATAGACCTTGTATGCCTACAGCTTTAGATATAGTGATGAACTGAATATTTGATCTGAAATTTTCATTGCATAATTTCCTGTTTGTGAATCATGCAAATATTGTCAGCAAGCGTATGTAAAAAGCGAGTGATAAACATCCTTTTCAAAAGTGATTAGACAATTTGAGTGAAAGAAACACAATCTCTTGTTCGTCCTCACTCTCTCTCTCTCTCTCTCTCTCTCTCTCTCTCTCTGTTCTATCTTTGAATAAGCCTAAACAGAGGACACGTACCGATGCTTGTGACCGTTGCTTTATAAATAAATACAAATCAAAACATTTTGGGAAGACACCGCAAAGAGAACTAGCTTTTACAACACGGATTTGTGAATATAGAAACATTTTGTAACGTTCTTTCCTTTTCAGGGTCGGGGAGAAAGCATGTAAATCAGGGTAATTTGCTTTTTAAGCCCCGCGCTAAATATGTAATAAAAATTTACCGAATAGTTATATTTAGGTGTAAATATACATGCTTAATTCGAAAATAACAAAGAAATTTGGAAAAAAACTACCATTTTGGTGTTATCGGCAATAAATGTTCGGACTTATTTGCGTAACGGCACGGCAGCCATTACTGTCGTTGTTTGCATACATTCGTTGCTGATTAGATTTGCGCGGAAGATTACATTGTTAACGGTGTATTTACTGTTCTTATTTGATTGAATTACTGCGCAACTCAGGACTCATTGCGTGCACAATAATCAAGACTGTTCCGCAGCAACTATATGCAAACAACGCCAGTAATAGCTGCCGCGACGTGAATGAGTCCGAAGTTCTATTTTTAATAACTCCAAAACGGTAGATTTTATCAAAATATGTCGTTCATGACTCTCCACAATTTCTTGCCCGTTGTAGCACTTAGTAAGTTTTGTCTTTTGGCTACCTCTCTCCTAATCCCTGTTCTGCCAACCATTTACACAAGCTCGTTAGGGTTAGAGTTATACACCGTTTTCCCCTGTTCCTTTTGTTTTCAATGTCTTGTGAGTGTCAAGTTCACCAAGCCCTCTTGACTCAGCATGTGCCCGGTAAATGATAAACTGTCTCTTTCTGAATATAATTATTAGTTTTCCTTTTTGTTTTCATTTTTATCGTCGTTGCGGACATGTTATGTCCAGGGCATTCTCAGCATCCTTCTGTAGAACCACATTATTGTTACCTCAAATCTCTTCTTCGTATGTAAGGTAATTGTTCAGGATTTACTGTCATAGAAGAGGACAAATATTGCATAAGAATTCAACACTCTTTTCTTTGTTTCTAATGACATTTTCCTGTTTCTTAATAATTTGCCTACATTTTTGGAAGGCGTCTTTCCCTATCTGTCTATATTTCTGAGATGAGGTATTATGTACACTATTTACATTGCTCGGACTATCATCTTCATCTTTATTGTCATATTTATCACAACATTTCAGGTGGTTAGAATGTCAAACTGAACCCTTTATTTCGCTCTCTGTGGTAGACTGTTCTAGTTCCACGTGCCATGTCTAATGGATGTCAGTTATCAGTTATCTCCTGTTAATTCCCCTCTCCAAGTTCACACTCTTTGGGTCCTGTTTTTTCTCTTTTCTCTGGCATAAAGGGGAGACAGGTCGCCCCCGCATAAGATAAGGCTTCAAGAACACCAGAAAGCTGTGACACAAGAGGAAGTGGAAAAATCAGGCGTGGCCGACCACATATGGAGAGAAAAGGGAAATCACCGCCCTCTGTGGGATCAGGTTGAAATAGACAAACATCAGTGGAAAATTCGTAAACTCCTGAGGCGACCAAGTATAGAAATGAATACAGTATGGGAACCAATGATAAGGAGTGCCAGAGAAAAGTAATAACAACAACGAAAATTGCAATATGAGCTCTGGTAAAATATGATGGCTGAAGCTATTAGGGTTATAATACCTAATATTTTCCAAGCCTCAAACCCTCACAATTTTTAAATGCTTATTATTGTTTTGTTTTTTTTTGGGGGGGGTTGCAGGGAGGGCCCCACCCCACAAAAAAAACAATATATAATAAATCTTGTATAATATCATTTCGGGGATTACACACACAAAAGAAAAACCTTACTTTTAGCTTACTGAACAGATCCCTCAAACTAGGCCGTTTGTGTGTGTGTGTGTGTGTGTGTGTGTGTGTGTGTGTGTGTGTGTGTGTGTGTGTGTGTGTGTGTGATATACATAATGGTAATGCTAATATTTACCGTTTTCATATAAGGAAACATCTGGAATTTCTTCACCGAACAACCAGTTCTACTGTCGGTTAAAATTTATAAAATCCTTCTCTTAAAACAATTCTTCAGGAAAATAGGTTTCTCAAGTCCACTCACTCTCCTACATAAATACACGTACACACCTTTTGTGTATACGCATTTATGTAGGCATGGAAATATCATGTGTCAATATTAGAACAGGTAAAAAAGAAAGGATGAGGTCGAAATACTCACTTTCACTGTCAACAAAACTCGGATGGGGCCCGTCCCTTACACTTTGGGTGGGCTTCATAGACAGAAAAATCGCTGTCCGAATTTTTTAACTGACCTTTTTGCTTACCTTTAAAACAAGAAAAAAATGTACCTCACGTTTTTCCTTGCCAGATAGACTGCGTCATTTCCAGGGTTTTAACTGTTTCATGTCAATTGTTCCACTAGGGGAACATATTTGAAGACTTTTTTAAAATTTATTTGCCAGACAAGAATTAATTTAATTTGATTTGATTTCTTTGTTTAAAGGCACACCAACTGCTTCATGGGTCATTTAAGGTCGAAATTTAATTTTCCTGGGAGCTTTGATTTGATTTGCTTGTGTAACAGCATATTAACTCGTTGTGGGTATGGAATATCGGAATTTCATTTTCTTGGGAGCTTTAAAGTAATAAAAATATATATTATTTTGCTTTCACAATTGAATACATGGTAGATGACACTCAGCTTTTGTGTATATACATGTTTGTGTGGACATAATTACCAGAGGCGTTGATATGTATGCCATTAATGTTGCTTGTTTCGTTAGTGGATTTTGTTTAGCGGCATTGGGTTATTTAATGCCGAAATCTAAATATTTTGAACATAATTTTACGACTTTAACTAAATATATTTTAAATGCAATTGTATGCCTTCAACTACAAATAAAATGAATTTTTGATAATTTTAATATAAAAAAAAAACTCTTGCTTCATTTTGTGCCCTAGAGATTAACTACGGTGACGTTACGGAAACTAGTGTTTCAATGTGATATTAAATCTTAAAAATCCAATATTTGTCTTAGCCTACCTAAGATTTTTTGATTATGTATTGATGGTATTTTTACTATAAAAATTTATTTTTATACCTTCAAAGTGTTTTGCTTTTGTTTGGAGGTTCACTATTTGCCTATGGCTAGGACCCTAACAGGTGCTACCACCCCGGATCAGTGGGTATAAACTTTCCTGAACTTCAAAACCTCACGTCACGCAACCTCTTACTTTAACTCAGATTCTTTGGATTCTGACCAAATAAAACTGATTTTCTCAATTCACAAAGTTTTGGAGATATTTTAAACTGAACTTAAAACAAAAAAAATTAAATTCACAATGTTTTTTGTTTATTTATTTAATTAAAAAAAACAAATATCCCACAAAATAATAACATGGACGAATCTAAATTATTTGGAGGGGGGTGCCATGATGTCAGATGAATTGTTGTTTTCTTACATCGTTTCCCCTAAAAAAATCGGATAGACTATTTTTCTTGCTATATATTGAACTGAGATTGCTTTTTTAGCAAAATTCAGCAATGGGTAAATACATATCGGGGAGGTTTCCTGTGGAGTCCTCCCTCCGTTAGGTTAGACAAGCTTTGTGTACCTAGTTAATGTAAGTGTTTTTCCTGGGCTGCATCTTTGGTTATGATCCAAGTCGAGATTTCCAACCTCTCCAGTTTGTTTCGACACACACTTTCATTTCGACTAGGTCAGCTTTTATATTTCCCATGGCCGTATATGTTTTCTCCTTTCCCACTCCCTTAGTGAGAGAGCTTCTTGATTTTTGTCCAATGGGCAGAATAAAGCGGCCTTTTTTTGAGGGTTGGACGGGTCCTAACATCAGTTATGTTTAATTTACTTTGTGTTCAGGATATTTTTTTTGTCTTTCCCTCCCCTCTCATTTTAGTCATCCGTAGCTTTTTAATTATAAACTTCAGCATCATCAGATTTTCATGGCATGGGATTCCATTGAGAGGATGCGGTATTATGGTGTATGAAGGATTGATTAGTGACGGACGAGTTTTTATGATGAATGTAGAAATTGTAATGAGTGAATGGGTCGAGAATCAGATTAGCTACGTATAAGATAGTGAAGACCATCCACTTCCCCCTCTTTCGGCCATGTGCTATAATTATTGTATAACTATACAGTAATAAATATATTCAGCAATCAGTAAACTATTAGTCCAAACACGACAATATCAACCAACCGAAGCAAAGTCCGTTCAAGTACTCCTGCCAATTGGAAACCTAACGCCAAAGAATTATAACATAGAAAATTTGATATTTGCTGATGGTCTTCTGGAAGGTTTTTCCTATTCCGGGGCCGTGGGAGTGCTTGAAAAACTGACTCTTGCAAGGAGTGAAGCGATTTTCCGGCGTTGGCACTGACGCCATAATAGCGACGCTCCTGGCGCTCGGCTTTAATTCTAAAGAAACTCAAACCACTTTAAATGACTACCTGCACAACGCCGAATATGACTCCTCAGAAAAACTCTAAAAACTATGGCTGCAATTCTGGCGCTGAGTTTACTCACTGGTTTGGTCATCTCCTTGAATCTAAATCCTATGACTCTGAAACCAGCTTTCTGCAACTGTACGAAAAGACTGGTAAGGAATTCTGTGTTGTCGTTACTAATGTTGACAAGTTAAGAATCGAATATTGTCATCCAACAATCCCCCCCCCCCGACCCCGACTTGCCAATTAAGCTTGCTCTGTTCATGTCTCTCTCTTTGCCCCTGCAAAATACGGCCCCGGAGTTGAAGGTTGTCATTACATCAGTGGTAGCTTGCTGTGCAATTCACTTATCCAATTCATTCTTTTGACGGTTGCCTGCTTTCTATGGATCCCAAAGGCTCTATTCTAAACCAATTAGTCTCTTGATCAATTATCTTTTGCTTGACAAAGTATTTGATTCTAGACCCTCGTAATATTAATGAAATCCGTTATTTTCTCTCAAAATATATAATCTTTTTATTTGTGTTCGGTTATTTAGAAAATACAAGATTTTAACAGGCGGAGAACGCCTTTGTAAAAGAGTGTAAATAACAATGTTTATATTATGAATAAACACTAAGAAAAAAACAGGTCAAGATGACGGAGAATTGGACTGAATTATGTACTTTGACGCTCGACGATCTGCTTATCAATTTGGCGAAAATAAGAAACTGTTGGATTCCATTTTTGTCGATAAAACAACATTTGGTCGGCGTCCTCTTAGCTAGCGTTACAATTGCCAACATGGCTGCACAGTATGCCAACGCTTTGGTTTAGTCAGGTTTTGCCAAATTCATAGCGGAATGAGGCAGGGCGTAGAACACCATGCTAAAGTAAATATGCAAGTTTGTCGCACTAGCTTTATAATGGACAGTCGTCCAACAAGGACAACATTTATACATAACTGTCATTAAAAATGCATGAACCTTTTTTCAAAGTTTCTGTATTTCATTATTCCCGCGTTTCTTCTCCCCCCACCCCAAAAAAAAAGATCTGGTGTCTTTAATCCGACAATTTACTAAGTCTGTCAATCGTTGCCCTCATGCAGTGAATTAGTGCCAAGTGTTTGACACTAAGGCCTCTTCAATTCGCGATGATAATGCTCTTTTACGTGCCTGTGTGAATTCTGTTACATTGGAGAGCTGCTGCTCGCAGACACTGGACTGTAGAATGGAATGGCTATTCCCTTCGTACATTGAAAAATGCCCAGTAAAACTAGATTCGGCAATTAGCTAACGTCATTGATAATTCTGCTGTTTGAGTAAACGCTTCTTTTTTTTTTTTTTTTCTCTCTCTCCACTTTCCTCGATGGCAACCGCTTTTCCTTTATTCTCTAAAACGACTTGCCTCAAAGGGAGCCTGGGTTTCCGAAAATTCCGAACCATTGTCCATTACATACAAACTTACAGTGCCTGGCTTTCCAAGCGGTCACCCATTTAGGTACTGACCAGGCTCGATGTGGGCTTAACTTCGTTGATCGTACGGGAACCGGTGTTTCAAAGTGATGGGGCCGTGAGTTATTAATGAATTAAGACGATGTAGTAAAGAGAACGACATAAAACATCTTTTATGCGCCGTGTGCCTTCAGAACGTAGAGGTTCATGGGCCTCCATATCTTCCTCTCCCTTGTAGCTCTTAATAAGTTTTTGTCTTTTTTATTTCTCCCCAACCCTGTTCATCCATCCATTTATTCAAGCTAATCAAGTATGTTTGCGTCACTCACTCACTCCTGTGAGTATCAGATTTTCCCAGCCCTCCTTCCTCAATACGCGCACCAGATATTTCAACTGCGTCTTTCTGGTGTTGAGTACAACTTTCTTTTTTGTTTCCATTTTCTCAAAAACTTCGCTTGGTCCATGGTATCTTCGGCATCTTTCTGTTACTTCAAAAAAAACAAAAACATCCAAATATCCCGAGTATAACTACAGGGTTGTTAAAAAGTGACTCCCTATTTTATGTATAGTGGATTTTCCCGTCTTGTAAAAATTATAGTTAGACGGGAGAGTCCATCATACTAAAATAGCGATTTACTTATCAATCATCCTGTATAATATGGTCATTTGTTTTCTTCAACACGTAAATGCCTGCAGGAGAACAACTTACTGTGCCTTGTTAGTGTCACGTTTTCCAGTGAAAAACATGACACGAAGTAGTAGCAGTAGTATAATTATTATTATTACTACTACTAAGTCTGCTAAGAAAGTTATTTCACTATGTAGTGCAAGACACTTTTTCTCGAAAGAATCCATTTTGCACTGTTATAAGTCTAAAATTCGTCCGTGCAATCCTATAAATATTAGCACAATAATAGTTCTGAAAAGCTTTGGGTACGTTGATTTCACGAATTTAAGCACAGTACTAAATTGGCAGATATATATATATATATATATATATATATATATATATATATATATATATATATATATATATAATCACCCCAAGCAAGGTGGCGCAGTGAGAGGCTCTCGTGAAGTTGAATATCAAGCATGCTGATAAGAGGCAGGGAAGTTTTTTCTATGGTAAGTAAATGAGAATAGTTTCGTTTTGGCTGCATTAAAATTTACGAGCCATTTCCTGTCCCGGTTAACCACTCATTGGAGCTCTTTTTGTAAGAGCAGCGGCCAGGTTAACAGTGTCAGCTCTGACGGATTTGCTATTGAGACAGGTGTAAATGATAGCGTCATCAGAATAAGTGCCTACTTGGGAACTGATGACATCAGGAAGATTATTGAAGATCAGAAACGGCGCAAGATCCAGGAAAAAGTTTGTTTTTTTTTGGGGGGGGTGTACCTAGGTTCATGTTCAGCTCAAAATTTTACTAAAACAAGACAGAAAAATATGATTAATCACTATTTATTTTGTTGTTTATATATATATATATATATATATATATTTTTTTATCCTGTTGGGGTGGTTTGGGATACACCGTCTGTCACCCCTGCATATGGGTAAATCATGAACTCGACCAATATTTTTCTCGTGACTCAAGCATAGACTAAACTTGAACAATGTTTGCGCTTAGGCTGAAATATAAATTGAACAAAGTCAGTGTACAGACTCAAGTATAAAACCTTTGTCATAAATCTATGTGCATATGTTTATATTTCTTAATGATATATCCCGTCACGCCGTAGATGAACATGCCTCTCCCTAGCTTCCTTTTATTTATTATCTGTGATTGATTGTTTATGTAATCTTCGAAAAGATAGTGCAGCAGTTTCCAGTTGCCTTCTGCACTGTTTTGAATTCAGTGGAGTCTTTCTGTACCCTGCTATTTAACCTATAACTGGGGGGATGGAGATGAGACAAGTAAAAATTAATTCCTCCACAAAAAAGATTTTCTACAATGAACTAAAAATATTAAGCAGACTCTCATTAATAATGACTTCCCAAACCACATTGTAGCTGAACAAATAAGATATATAAAAAAAAAAAAAAACTCAACACACGTCAAATAGAATATAGTACTTCCCCAAAGGACATTAAATATATCAAACTATTATACTGTAACCAGATGCATGCTAACTACAAACAAGATGAAGAAATCATAAAGAATCTCATTCATACTAATATATCTTCCATGGATTCTAATAAAAAATAAAATTAATCATATATTATAAAAAAATACAATGCAACCAATTTAATTATTTGCAATAACTCCTCCCCACTAACCGATGTATTACGTAAAACCAACATTATATACCAATTTAAATGTCCCTTGGGAGAATGTATCTCCGACAAAAAAAAAAAAACAAATATATATATATATATATATATATATATATATATAAGGTATACAACAAATACACGAACAAGAAGGCTTACACTCCACATGCCTAATCATTGCAAGACATCTACAACAACATCAAATATCACATTCGCAATATAAAAAAATTACTAATCAACAAATTTTGATTAAAAATACTAGAAGCAATTTATATTAAAAAAAATTAAAACAATCAATTATGAATACTGCAGTAATGTTCTGAAATGCCTATAAAGGAACAGTTTTTTCAGGCTTTAATGCGCGCGTTACCATGACATTATAACATAAAGGAAAAAATTCAATTATGGATAATTTCCTCAGGTTCTAATGAATGCTCAGCGCATTGTCAATCGTTGTGCATTTAAAAGCATAAAGAAAAAATTACGGTAATGAATAAAAACGCACAACTTTGTATAAATACTTATACTAATGAACAACATATAGTTTTATACGAATTGCACCCCTGAAGATGATCTTGGAAGAAGATCGAAAGTACTTGGGGAAATGAAAATAAAAGAAATTTAAACAGCTGTAGCACATACCTCTCATCCTTTAACATCAATACACGGAAGGTTATTCGTGAGTATGAACGGATTTTATTAAAAATTAGCAAACATAATGTTTGTAATTCATTCGATCAGGCATATATATATATATATATATATATATATATAAAATATTGTCAAAAGCTTGAAAAATTCATCGTTAACACGACCCAGATTTCAACTTTGCGGTTTCTTCAGGAGGTTTATGGTAAAAACATTTCTCACCAAAAAACACCTGATAATACCGTAAGGTTGAAACCTGGGTCGTGTTAATGGTGAATTTTTCAATCTTTTAACAATATTGTTATCCGCTCTACACATTCAATTTTTAGAATTGTGTATTGAGCACTTTCTTAAAATATCCGTCTGATATATTTTTATATTCAGATATATATAGATATGTGTATGTATGTATATATATAATATATATACACACACACAGAGATTCAAGTATCTTACCTACATGTACGAATATGTGTATGTACCTTACACAGGTACTTATATAGGTATATATATAGAGAGAGAGAGAGCGGGGGAGAGAGAGATTGTTCAAAAGAAAGAAATACATACACATCCTATCACGCCTTTCTTTTTGTTGTGTGTGAATATTTATTTGGTGAACGGGCGGCCCCCTTTTCATTCTCACAATTCTCTATTTCCTGTTTCTCCGAAACGTGCGGACGGTGTTGACACAGATCCAGTTCTCTCTCACCCAATTTCCTGGTTGACTTTGAAAAGACGACCGAACAAAGAAAGTAAAATGGGGATTTCGATTCCCGTAAAAAAGCGTCGTTCTTTCTGCGAATCATGGCGGCAAGATAAGTTGTGACGTTCACACGAGAGGCGCTCGGTAAATATTGACAAAAGTGGATATGAACAGTGGAAGAAAGAAAGAAAGAAAGAAAAGAAAGAAAGTGACATATGTACGAAAAAAGATAGATGAACTGAATGAGATAGATAGATAGATGTCTCCATTAACGAATTTGAGTGAATTGGTAGTAAAACAGGTACGAAGAAGTATGGTAAAGAGATAAAAGTTACTTAGAACAATAAAAGATAGGAAGTTGTGGAGAACCATGGCCTATTTTTGTCAGCAATGACTCTTCCGGAAGGGCAACCAGTTTTAGAAAAAGGAGAATTCTGATTTCAAATCTCTGGCAATATGTCAGTGAGGTAAATTAAAGCCCATTATTCCTTGTGCCTAACCTATCACTGTCATAAAGTGAATTGAATATAATATATATATATATATATATATATATATATATATGAATCATTCAAACAAAAAGTGAATTATTAAAGTTAATGGATGTTATGATCCTTGTTTTTTAAAATTATAAGCTGTATCAGGTCTTTCTTAAATACGCGAGTAATTTAAAAAAACAAGGATCATAACATTCATCGAGTGATTAGTAAGTAAATGCATCTTTAAAATTTTATTTGCGAAGGGATTTTGCCATTTTATATAATTAACTTTACTAATTCACTTTTTGTATGAATGATTCACTGTAATATAAATTGAAGTTTTGTCTACTTATTTTCAATTGGATCCTTTAATATTCACGGACAAGCATTTTGGTGTCATTATTTAAAGAAGAGAGAAAATTACTGTGTTGATACATATTTTATTCCGAGTACTTTCAATATTAGCACAATGTCATCATCAGGATGCTGTTCATTTCAAGATAAATATAGTAGTGTTGATCATTTTCAAAGAAAAAATTGCTGTGTTCATCTGAAAGTTATATTTTTTACTAGTGAAGTGAAGAACATTGAGTGAGTACGTAATGGCTTGACTCACCTTCAGGGGAGGTAACTAAGTATGGTGTGTCGAGAATTTTTTAAAGAAATAAGTATTAAAACTATTAGTGACAACCTTGATATTTTAAACTATCTATTGTACATATTTTAAAATATTTGTGAAATGTTCATAATTAATTTTATTAAGGTTTGGTTTCAATTTGTTAATATAGATGGCGTCGCGAGTTTTAGCTTATGTTTATTATTTTCAATAAAAGGGAGAGATGTATTTTCAACAATAATTTTTCTGAATTGTTAATGTGGACAGGTATGCAGTTTAGAAATGTTGGATATATCATTCAAATGAAAAGTCAGTCGCCGAGACAACGTGGTCTTAGCGTGTCAAACATAAATATTATTTTTTCCATATATATCAAGAACAATATTAGGG